TATGAAATTTTCAAATATTGCCTCAAGAAAAACAAAGCATGTAACCCATCAGAGTTAATCCCTCTGAGTGTTAGTTACCTGTTGGTTAACTGTGACTCAAATGATGTATATATACCAGCTTCCTCCACTGAGTAATCAGTGTCACAACATATTAATATAATGTATCTATATAAATTAGAGTAAACTATAATTAGAGTATTTAAACTCTGTATAATGTACGCCCCCTTTATATGTGAAATAATACACGACTTACCTGAAGATAATCTGGATTGTTAAAGTCTTCACCGTAGACACAATGACCAGCAGAGATGGCCCAGTCCTCCTTGTAGAGGGAGGCGCCACAGAAGTGCCACGCATCACCGTAACTGATGTCTTGGAAGCTCAGCTGATAAGGAAACTCACCAGGCTCAGCATCGGTGCCTCCCACGATCTTGTAGTTACCTAAACTGAACCTCAGCTTGTGCGATGGAGCGGCTGTGAGAAAAATAGTCGAGATTTTAAATTCTTGCTTCAAATGGAGTGACCTGACACCTGTGATGAGCACTTGATGTAAGGAAATGGAGCAACCCTTTCACTTACTGGATCAAAACTGATTTCTCCATAGGGGTTTAGAGCGTGTTCGTAAATGTATAATAATGCCAAATGTACTCATTAACTCCTCGTAATTAGCGTTTTTGTTGTAAAATACAAAAAGATCAAAATTCAATAGCGATTATATTGCAGTGCAGGTTTAAACATCATTGACGGTGTTTACAGAGGGAACTCACCGAGCGCTCCAGCGAGGAGAAGGCAGAACACGAAGGTCTTCATGGCTGGTCTCTGGAGAAGAGTCATATTCCCCGCCACCATTTATAATCACCACCACCTCCTTATCTTTGCAATCATTATCTCTCTCTCTCTCTGGTCTCTCTCTCTCTCTCTATCTCCTTCTCTGATATCTGGGGCAGGAGTAAGACTCGACCTACGAACTTAGAACAAGGTACGCAGTGCTCATACCAACCTCACCACACTGACCAAATTACCTTGGAGTCAGCTTTTCGGCTTAGACTTTGATCAGGCAGCCAGCTTTCAGGGAGAAGGCTTACAGCTATATCTCATCCCCTGGCATGCTCAGCTTACTAGAGATTTTAACATGCAGGACTTCGCGAGAGCAGGACGAAATATACACAAAACTTATCTCTGGCTGATGAAGGAGACTCGAACCTACGAACCTGTAGCAAGGAACGCAACGCTGCTATACCAAACTCTCCCATGGACCAAATACCTGGAGTCTCAGGCTTGCGCTAGACTCTTGATCAAGGCTGCCAGCTTTCAGCGGAGAAGGCTTTACAGCTTTTCACTCTCATCCTGCATGCATTCAGCCTTACTAGAGATTTTTAACAATTGCAAGGAATTCGCGACAGCAGGCGTAATATTCACAAACCTGATATCGGCTTGAAGGAAGACCGAAACCTACGAAACTCGAGAAACACGGTTACGCAGTGCTATACCAAACTTACCTCAAAAACTGGACCAAATACCTTGGAGTCCAGCTTTGCGCTAGACTTTGATCCAAGGCAACCAGCTTTAGGGAGAAGGTTACAGCTTTTATCTCATCCTACATGCATCAGCCTTACTAGAGATTTTAACAATGCAAGGAATTCGCGCGAGCAGGCGAAAAATATACACAAACCATGATCTCTGCTGGAAGGAGGACTCAACCTACGAACCTAGGAAACAAGGGTACAGGAGATGCTATACCAAACTCTCCACACTGGCCAAATACCCTTGGAATCCAGCTTCCGCTAGACTTTTGATCCACAGGCAGCCGCTTTCAGGGAGAGGCCATACAGCTTTTCATTCTCATCCCCTGCATTCCTCAGCCTTACTAGAGTTTTAATAATGCAAGGAATTCGCCGGGAGAGCAGGCGAAATATACACAAATCTCTAGTAGGCTGTTGCCATGCAGGGGAGAGATGAAAAGCTAGTAAGCCTTCTCCTGAAAGTGCCTGCTTGGATCAAAGTCTAAGCCCAAGCTGGACTTTGTATTTGGTCCAGTGTGGTGAGTCTTGGTTATAGCACTGCGCACCTGTTCCAAAGTTTCGTAGGTTCGTGTCTCCTTTAGCCAGGATCAGTTATTGTGGTATATTTCGCTGTTCTCGCGAATTACTTGCATCTTGTATATATATATATATATTAATATATATATATATATCTATATCTATATTATATAGATAGATATATTATATATATATAAATATATATATATATATATATATATATATATTATATATTATATATATATATATATATATATTATATACAAAACAACACTCTGAAAGGAATAGAGAAATTCCAAGCGCTTTCGTGACTACTCACATTATCAGGAACTCTGTTATTTATAATTTATATAAAAAAGAGAGAGGTTAAGAGAGCTGGTGATGAAACAATGTAAAAGAGAGCAAATGAGCGAGTGGTTGAGATGTTATCAACAAATTTTGTGAAAATAAGAAAAAGTTTGGAGAGTGAAGTGGGATTAACAAGTTAGAAAGCCTAAAGAACAATGGATTTGTCAGTTAAAATAGGGAGAGGGAGAAGTAGAGGAGAGTTAATTAAATGGAGAGTTAGATGTATTGGGAAATATGGACCGGGAAGGAATATTTTGAGGAAATGTTAAAAGTTGATGCTAGTAGGGACAGCTGTGATTTCGTGTATAGGGCAAGGAGGAACAACATCTTGTCGGAGTGATGGAAGAGCCATGTTGTGGTGTGGGGGAAGTTCGTGAGGCAAGTAGGTAAAATGAAAGGGGGTAAGGCAGCCGGGATTGAAGGGATAAAGATCGAAATGTTAAAAGCGGTGGGGATAAAGTTTTGGAGAGGTTGTGCTGCATAATTTAATACATGTATGGAAGAGGGTAAGGTACCTACGGGTTTGGCAGGGAGAGCATGCCTAGTTCTTTGAACTAAAGGCAAAGGGGGAATAAAAGATAGTGCCAAAATTATAGAGGGATAAGTCTGTTGAGTATTTTTTTTAAAAAAACCTGGCAAGTGTAGGTAGAGTTATTATTCGAAAGAATTAAGAGTACTCGATCCGTGGAAAATAGGATAGCAGATGAACAAGGAGGCTTTAGGAAAAAGGTAGGGGTAGTGCGTGGACCAAGTGGTTTACAGTGAAACATATAAAGAGGAACAGTATTTAGATAGGCACTAAAGATGTCTTTGTGGCATTTATGGATTTGGAAAAGGGTTATGACGGGTAGATAAGGGGGGCAAATGTGGCAGATGAGTGCGGGTTGTTTGGTTGTAGGAGGTAGGTTACTTGAAAGCAGTGAAGAGTTTTTTACGAGGATAGTGAGGCCTCAAGTTACAGTATGTAGGAAAGAGGGAAATATTTCCCAGTAAAAGTAGGCCTTAGACAAGGATGTGTGATGTCAACCGTGGTTGTTTAATATATTTATAGGATGGGGTTGTAAAAGAAGTAAGTGCGAGGTTCTTGCAAAGAGGCGTGGAGTTAAAAGATAAGAATCACACTTAAAGTGGGAGTTGTCACAGTTGCTCTTTGCTGATGACACTGTGCTCTTGGGGAGATTCTGAAGAGAAGTTTGCAGAGCTTGGTGGATGAAATTAGGAAGGGTGTGCAAAAAGAAGAAATTGAAAAATGAATACAGGAAAGAGTAAGGTTATGAGGATAACAAAAAGGATTAGGTGATGAAAGATTGAACTCAGATTGGAGGGAGAGAGTATGAGCGGAGGTGAATGTATACAGATATTTGGGAGTGGACGTGTCAGCGGATGGGTCTATGAAAGATGAGGTGAATCATAGACTTGATGAGGGGAAAAGGGTGAGTGGTGCACTTAGGATGTCTTGGAGACAAAGAACTTTGTCCTTGGAGGCAAAGAGGGGATGTATGGAGTTTGTTTTACCAACGCTTTTATACTGGGTGTGAAGCATGGGTGATGAAGTTGCAGCGAGGGCGAAGGCCGGAAGGCCGTGGAAATGTCCATGTCTGGAGAGCAAGTGTGGTGTGAATATTAATGCAGAGAATTCGTAGTTTGTAGTTAGGAGGAGATGCCGGGATTACCAAAACTGTTGTCCAGAGGGCTTAGGAAGGGTTGTTTAGGCTGGTTGGGACATGTGCAGAGAATGGAGCGAATCTGAATAACTCAAGAGTGTATCAGTCTGTAGTGAGAAGAAGGGGGGGTTAGGGGTCGGCCTAGGAAAGTTGGAGGGAGGGGATAAAGGGAGGTTTTGTGTGTGCGTGGGGGCTTGGACTTCAAGCAGGATGCGTGAGCGTGTTTGATAGTAGTGAATGGAGACAAATGGTTTTTATACTTGACGTGCTGTTGGACGTGTGAGCAAGTAACATTTTGAAGGGGGTTCAAGGAAACCGGGGTAGGCCGGACTGAAGTCTGGAAGATGGGAAGTACAGTGCCTGCACTCGGAAGGAGGGGGGTTAATGTTGCAGTTTAAAAACTGTAGTGTAAGCACCCTTTGGCAGGACAGTGATGGAGTGGAATGATGGTGAAAGTTTTTCTTTTTCGGGCACCCGCCTTGGTGGGAATCGGCCAGTGTGATAATAAAATTAAATATATATATATATAATATATGTATATATATTATATAGATTTATAATTATATATAATATATATATTTATATATATAAGTTATATATATATATATAGATATTATTATATATAAGTAGACTGATTTCTTCGGAGCGGTCCTTCTACTGAGCGGTCTCCTCTGAGCGGTCTCCTTTTCACACCTATGTGCTAATGACCTTGACCTCGCCTCGAGACCCCCTCCCCCTCGTTACCACCTCGCCCTCGAGACCACCTCCCCCACGAGACCACCTCGCCTCGAGACCACCCTCACCTTGACCCCCACCCCGCGACCCCCCACCGCGCCCGCCCACGACCCCGCCCACGACCCCGCCCACGGACCCCCCGCCCACGACCCCCCCCGCCCCGCCCCCCCCGCAAAACCCCCACCACTCCACCCCACCCCAACCCCCCCCAACCCCCCCCATAACCAACCAACCCCCCACCCGCCCGCCGCGCGACCCAGCCGCCGCACACCCCTACGCGCCCCCGTCGCGCCCTCGCGCCCGCCCCGCGCCCCTCGCGCCCGCCCGCGCCTTCTGCTCGCCTTCTGCAGCGTCGTCCGGAATCGCCCCCCGCGCCCGAATTTTTTACGATTTTTTTGCAAATTTTTTTTTAAATTTTCTTGTGCTCTCTCGGATCAAATTTTTGAGTTTCCCCTCCACTTTCACCCCCATCCCAATTTTTTCGGAATTTCATTTTCTGTATGAACTCCTCAATTCAAGTTTTTCCTCGATAATACAAAGGACTCCAACTCCTCGATCCAAAAATTTTCCTCGATAATACCAAGACTCCATCTCCTTGGGATCAAGTTTTTCTCCTCCATCTCCTTGGATCGAGTTTTTTTGGATTCCCCCTTGGGTATAAGCATTCAAAAATGGACTCCCATTGTATCAAGTTATTCTCGATAATACAAAGGACTCCAATTCCTTGGATCAAGTTTTTGGATTCCCCCTATGGGGTTTCGAAATTTCTTATGATCTCCTTGGATCAGGTTTCTCTGATAATAACAAAGACTCCAATTCCTCGGATCAAGGATTTTTTCCGGAAATAAAGTCTCCATCTCCTCGGATCAATTTTGGGATTCCCCCTTGGGGAGCAAGCATTCAAATGCACTCTCCTATGGGGGGGCATGGGGCTTCTCTTACTAAGGTCTTCTAAACAAGTGTGCCGTCAGTATTCCTCTCATTAAGTTAAATGAAGTAAAAAAAGGGTTGTTACTCGGCGGTCAGTGGACGT